AGATTATAAGAATCTGAGCACTTTAATGGAGACAAGATGTACCTTATATACAGAAAGAGTGTAGGAGGGATCTAAGAGTGGTCAAGTAGTTTGGGGTGACTGGAGGAGGGGTCTAAGGAAGATCTGGATGGGAGTGGCCAGTAAACTGGGGTGAACAGAACTCCTGGGACCTGGACCACGTGGCCAAGAGAGAATGGAGCCCAGCTAGGATTAAGGGTGGGAAGTGGCCAGGGGCCATACTGAGGTAAGACAATGGAGGGCTAGGCTAGGTTAAGAGTAATAGAGAATTGGGAGATTGGGTGTAGCCACAATGAAAAGCCAGTTGATGGGATAATAGCTTCAGGCAAATACCAGAGATCTGGCCTTGTGAGAAAGTGCAGGGTTTTTCCAGTCTGAGGTCTGCTTCATTTCTTCTAGGTATTCATGTAGCCTGGGTTTTTTTCATAAGTACCTGCTTATAGTTGTCATGGCATTATTTTCTCTGAGGTTGGATTTCTGGGTAGTGTCTGGATCTACAATAATTCTCTATAATGGGGTAGGTTTCTCACCCCCATCCCCACCCCCAAGTTTTTTTTTTCTCATTTCTGCAGCCTTAGTGCTTGAACTGGAGTTTTGTGTCAGAGCCAGGCCTGCCCTCTGATGAACTTTTTGGTGAGGTGGCCTGCCCTGCTTGGTCTTGCCCTGAGTTACCTGGGTTCCTGCATTGACCTCCATGCCCAAGGTTAGGCCCTTCTTATCTTTGATGTTCAAAGTGTTATATCTTCAAGGCCTCTATGTTGTCTTGTATTGAGTTTTAGGGGCTTTGGAGCCCTGGGCCATCCACATTATGAGTGCTGCCATGCTGGCATTGGTCATTTCTCCTCTTTGTGGCTTTCGCTTGTTATTTAGGAAATTATTACTTACTCTTCATATAGGTCTATATCTATTGTTCATATTTCCTTATTGATGACACTTTTTATTGCGTTATAGTCTGTAAACATGTGTTTAATATTTATGCTTTTCTACATTCATTTATGAATTCTTTATGTTCTAGCTTATGATAAAATTTTGTAAAAGTATCCTGTGATAGTGGAAATAATATTTCTAGCCAGTAATCACTGTGATTATAGCCAATCCAGTTTTTCCCATATAGCATTCATTGAAGGCATATTTAATGTTCATATTATATTCTTATCTGTGGCACCTTAATGCATAATATTTTCCTGTCTGTTCCACTTAAAAGGATCTATTTCCCACATCTGAAATCATGTTCAGGGTTCCTGAATTTTTGCATTGTCCTGAGCATAATAAATTCCATTTCTACCTCTAATTTTAACTCTATATGTGCATTTGTTTTAAATTTGATTTTCCTTGTATGTATGCAGCAGATTATTGTGTTCTAGTTTCTAAACCATTCTGTAAGTCTCTTCCATTTTAGGAGTAAATTTAGCCCATTACTATTCAGAGCTATAATTGTTAAGGTTGCATTCCCCTATAATCTTGTTATATTACTTCTTTGTTTTAAAATAAGAAAGGTATCCGTGGTCTGTTTTGTTTGAAACACTCTGATCCTTTATCCACCCTTTCACACTCACATAGCACTCCTCTGCCCAGACTCATCCTCCATATCCCCTTTTTTCAGAATACTAGGTAGTGCTTGTTTTGCTCAAAATAACTTGTTCCACCTCTCTACCCAGATACCTACTCCTCACCCTACCCTTTTCTCCTTCAGTGTTCTTTTTTTTTTTTTAAACACTTCCTTTGCCCAGCTTAGTCAAAAGTAGATCAGGCTTTTGCTCCCTGCTTTTGTCTTCCCTTTTCTTTGTTCAAATGACCTTTATTTGTGGTGTTCTATTCTCACCATTCCACACTTCTTTCCACTCAGATGGCTTTATCTGATCTTTTTTCATGGCTTTCATGTATTATGCTCTCTCTGCATTCTCTCAGTCTCCTCAGACACAGCAAGGCTGCTTAAAGACAAACTTGTCTCTATTAATCATGCAAAAACTGGCTCATTCTAGGACTTTTTTTTAGGTTTCTTAAGTTTCTTTGATGAATTTGCATATCAAAATCCCTTGTCACTTCTAATTTCCTTAGTAGGAATGATTTGAATTCTTCCTTTCTGCTGAAAAAATTTATACTTAGCTTTGTAGAGCAAAAAGTCTGACTTCCTGACTTACAGAGTGACTTCTTATACTTTGCAATCTATTCTTCCCACCCCCTTCCTTTCATTACTTGTCATTTATAAGTAGTCCTGTATTGCTCATAATACTTTTCCTTCATATGTTGAAGGGCTTCTGTCTGGTAACTTGCAAAACTATTGCTTTAATGTTGAACCTCTCTGTTACTTGGTGACTATTTTAGTGCATAAGCTATACATTGGGTTTCTTCTCTGATGGTGTCTTGTGGATTCTATGAAACTGTACTTTGTCCTATTTCAAATACTCTGGGCAGCTTTCTCATGTGATTTCCTGAAATGTGGTATTCCTATGGATTTCTTTATTATTTCTATCCTAGATCTATAGCTCTGTCTCCAGCTGAAGGTATTTCAAATTTAACAGGTATAAAATAGAATTCATTATCTTCTCACATAAGCCTACTTCTCAATTTTCTCTATTTCTGTTGAAGGCACCATAATCATTCCACTTGGCAACATCAGAGTCTTCTTCAGTGGAGGAAATGTCACCTGATCTGAGAAAGTTAGTGATTCTAAAAGCAGAACTAAGGATATAATGCATCAGTGCTGGTGTAAATATGACATGGGGTCAACATGAGTTTGTTGAGACCTTAATATGTGCCAGGCATTGTGCTATGGCTGTAAAAGATGGAATGATGGAAGATAGAAATGTTGTATATGGGTAACAGGAATCCAGTTTAACTAGAATAGAGAGTTTGTGAAGGAATGTATCACATCCTGTGATACCATGTCTCTACATAGGCTGACCCCAGGCCTGGAATGCACTCTCTCTTAGTTTATGTTATCTTCCAGAGGACGCCTTCCTGATTCCACTAGTTACTAGTACTTTTTGCTCCCTTGCAAAATTATGTACTTTTATCTGTTGAGCTCCCTCCTCCATAGAATATAAGTTCTCTCCTTGAGGTCATTTACTGTTTTTTGTTTTGTTTTTGTATCTCTAGAATTCAGCCAGTGTTTTATGTAGTAGGTGCTTAATAAATGTTTATTGATAGGATTGCCTTTCTCACAACAGCCCTATGAGATGAGACTTTTGGGGCATCCCATATAATAAGTATTTTTGATATTTCTTGTGTTTCACATTTTAGAGGGGGAGGAGAATCTGGCTGGCACTTAAATTTCTTCACAGAACCCCTATGGTATAGAACACCAGTATTCTGTGGGATATAATTTTGAAGTGTTGATTTTTAAGAATGTACTAGTTGTGAAGGATTCTATCCTTTGGTTTTTGTTGTCACTGACCCGTAGTCATTTTCCCTTCTACTTTAAAGCCAGTGAGGCAACTTTACCCTTGCCATAGGGCTTTTGCCTTTCACTGTTTTTTAGCCTTTCTCTAATCCAGGCTTGCACAACCTGCTGCCCATTCGGGGTTTACCCCTTATCGCTTACAATTTAGGTTGTGCAGGCCTGCTCTAATCCCTGAAAACCTATTTTGCAGTACTAAACTTTTTGGCCTTCCTGGTTCCTAAATCAACTTGTTTTCTTGGGTTCCAAGATGTGTTATATTTAAGATGTAATTGACTCTTTACAACTTTTGCTAATGGGATCATCTTCCCTTCTGCCCCTTGATTACACATCATACAAATCATAAGTGTTTCATAGAATTTATTAAAAAGGAAAAAATGCATGCAAATTCAGAAATAATGCACTATGGTCAGACCTTAAGTTCATTGCAATACTTTAGTGAATCTGTCATCTCATTGATGTGAGTTATTCTCTCCTTTGGTGCAGATTACAACCCACCTATTCTTTTTGGTTGCTCAGAAAGACTTCTGGAGTTAAAGGCAGAGTTCTTTGGGTCATAACCTAGCTCTGCCACTCTGGTCACCTGTGTGACCTTGAGTAAGTTATCTGATCTCCTTGGGCCTCAGTTTCCTCATCTGTAAAATGAGAATTCGGGACTAGATAACCTTCTAGCTTTAAAGCTGTGGTCAATGATCTTATTCTTGCTCTATGATTTTTTCCCATGTTGTCCTAGAAATCCTTCACATAGGACTATTTATCTGTTATCCTTTCTTTTTACTCCTACTCCGTGAACTCTAATGGTTTCCTATTGCCTCTGGGATCACATACAAAATCCTCTGTTTGGTATTCAAAGTCCTTCATAACCTAGCCCATCTCCCCCTTACTTTTCTTATACTTTATGCCTTTCTCTTCTCCCATCCCTGCCTCCTGCCATGTTCCATCAATACAGTGACACTGACTTCTCTGCTATTCCTTGAACAAGAAAGCATTTTCTCTGGCTGTCCCTACATGCCTGGGATAATCTCCCTCTTCATCTCTTATCTACTGACTTCCATGCTTTCTTCAAATCCAAACTAAAATCCTGTCTTCTACAGGAAGCATTCCTCAATCCCTTTTAATTCCAGTGCCTTTCCTCTTTTAATTACTTCTTGTTTTTCTTTTATGTAGCTTGTTTGTACATATTTTTTTGCTTGTTTTCTCCCTCATTAGATGGTGAACTCTTTCAGACCAGGGACTAGATTTTGCTTCTTTTTGTATTCCTAATCTTTAGCACAATGCCTGGCACAGAGTAGGCACATTAATTATTCATTATTAAACATTAATAAATTTTACTGACTGATTGACTTGCTAATCCAAAACTAGTTTCCAGTAGAGAGACCAAACCTGTTATGTAGATCTGGGAGTGAAGTTAATCTCTGATGAAGCTGTTTCCAGAAGACAGCAGTCCTCAAAACATGTCCCTAGCTGCCTCATCAGTGGTATTGCTTAATTCTTGTAAGCCTGGTCACTGTGAATGTCTGTGATTTCCAACATCCACTGTTTGATAGTGAGAGATCAACACGATGTTGTTCTTTTCCCCCAGCAAATATATTCCTTTGGAAGAAAACTGGGACAAGGGAGCTTTGGAGTGGTCATTGAAGTCACACACAAGGAAACAAATCACAAGTGGGCCATGAAAAAAGTGAACAAAGAAAAGGTAAGAAATATCAGCAAAGCTAAGGGCTAAGCTATGGGCATATAACACCATTAATAACAATTAAGGATTAATAATAATTGAAGATAAATAATAGGAACAATAATGTGACTTTTATATTTCATAATGTAGATTTGGGGGAGTAGAGTGGAAAAAGTCTTAGATTTAGAATCCAAGGCCTTCTGTTCAGATCCCAGCCCTGACACTTACTCCCTGTACTGTACCATCTGTGGGCAAGGCATGTAACCTCTCTGGGATTCAATTTCTTCATCTATAAACTGAGGACCACGGACTAGATGGCATCTAAGATCCTTTCTGCTCTAATCTATAATCCATTAATGAAAGAGGAAGGAATAAATCAGATAGCTTGAGAATGAAAAGCAAGCAACAAATTTGTGGTTGGAAACTCTTCACTGAATCAAATCCGTACTCACTAACCCATCTGCTTTCCCCGTTTTTCACTGATGCTGGCAATTACTCTACTGGACTGTACATGTTACGTCTTCTCAAGTCCATGGTCCTCCTAACAGGCCAGAGTAAATTCCACACCCTTTTCCTCCTGGAAACGGCCCAGTCCTTTCTCAGTTACTAAATAGTAACATAGCACTCATGTTGTGACTGTATCAGTTGCAACTACAATATAGTGGAAAAAAAAAAAAAGGACCCTAAATTTGCAGTTGGGATACCTGTATCAGAGGCTTGACTTTCCAGTTTATTAGCTATGTACCCTTGGACTGGTCCATTAATTTCCATATGCTTCAATTTCCTCATCTATAAAATGGGGATGATACTTGACCAATTCACTAGGCTAAGTCAGTAGAGTAATTGCCAAAAGCAGTGTAGTAGAAAGGGAAAAGAATGGGTCTGCGGGTGTGGGCTGATCTAGTTTCTGCCCTTTCCCATTTACTTTTTCTTTTTTTTTTTCCTTTAGTGAGGCATTTGGGGTTAAATGATTTGCCCAGAGTTACACAGTTAGTGAGTATTATGTATCTGAGGCTAGATTTGAACTCAGGTCCTCCTGACTCCAGGAGCAGTACTCTGTCCACTGCGTCACCTCGCTGCCCCCATTTACTTTTTCTTAGGGGTAACCTGGAGTACTGGATATAGCTGTCAGTTATCTAATAATTAACCATTTATGAAATGTTTTATACACATTATCTTATTTAATGCTGACTGCACTCCTGTGAGAGAAAACTTGCTCTTATTCCTGTTTTATAGATGAGGAATGAATGGGAATTTGCAATCAGAAAGCTTTTGTTCACATTTTGATTCAACTGTTTGCTAGCTTTTTGACCTTATATGTATTATTTATCCTTTTCAGGATTTACTCATCTCTAAAATGAGGATATCATTTTATATGTGTATATGCGTGTGCATGTGTATGTATCTGTCTGTCTCTATTACCTGCTTCATGGAACTCAGGGCATCTAGATGACACAGTGGATAGAGCACCAGGCTTGGAGTCAGAAGAGTCATCTTCATGAGTTCAAATCCATCCTCAGACACTTCCTAGCGATTTGACCCTGGACAAGTCACTTAACCTTGTTTGTCTCAGTGTCCTCCTCTGTAAAATGAGCTGGAGAAGGAAATGACAAACCACTCTAGTACTGTTGCCAAGAAAACCCCAATTGGGGTCATGAAGAGTCAGATACAACTGAAAAACAACTGAACATGACAATAATGCCTCATACAACTATTGAGAATATCAAATGAGACAGTATGTATGTATATGTAAAGCATTATTTTGTAAATGGCATTACCAGATAACTGTCAGCAATCATTACTATTATCATTTTTCATTGCTACCTGAAGGCAACCTTTGTCCCACCTGCTCTTCACTCCTTACTCTCAAGTGTCTACTATCTTCTTTCCCAGACTACTTGTTCATTTCCTATTTGAGTAGAAGTTGGCTAAGCATCTCTTTTTCAGATCCAAAACTCAGTCTTTTAAACTTGAGTATTTTATCATTATTTTTGTGTTTCTGTGCCTATAAGGAAAAAATTGAGGACACTGTTAACTTTACAATGTGTTGTCTTGAAGTCGATGTGATACACGATATACTTAGAAATAAACAGGTTTTTTTTTCGCCAAGTAACTAAAACAAACTATAACTAGTTTCCTACCAACTCCATGAAAATTGATGATAAAAATAATTGTAGAGTCAACAGTGAAGGAAGGCACTAAGAATCAGAAGAATTATTTCTAGTTGGAAAGATTTCAGTTCGTATAGATTGATAAAACTAGATATAATTTAAAATGGCACTAGTAACTTTAGCTCTGTCAAAATTAAGTGAATGAAAATGGGGAAAGTCCATTAACCCCTTCCTGTTTAAAAAGATGTGTCGGGGCAGCTAGGTGGCGCAGTGGATAGAGCACCGGCCCTGAAGTCAGGAGGACCTGAGTTCAAATCCGGCCTCAGACCAAACACTTGACACGTACTAGCTGTGTGACCTTGGGCAAGTCACTTAACCCCAATTGCCTTACCAAAAAAAAATGTGTCATTTCATTAATATGTGAACTCGTATCATTGATACAGATTGCAATGCACAATTGCATTTAGAATGAGATGCTGTGACCTAAAACCTTTGTGCATTGATGAGCAACCTTCTGGAGGGGAGTACCTCTAACCTGAGCCAGGCTGGTCCTCAGAAGACTGTCTCAGAAGACAGACAGTCTGTGTCCAGAGCCTGTCTCTCAAGCCTTTCCAACTTGAGAGAGTGAGCCAGAACTAAACGCTGGCATGACCTTCAAGAATTCAGGGTATTGAGAAAGAATGAGAGGAAAAGTGGGGGGAAAGTCAGTATCCACAACAACAAACCTAAGGGTCCTTCTAATTCTAAATTCTCTTGAGTCTCCTATAATGCAGAAAATTGGTGAAGAAGGAAGGTAGGAAATATAAGAGATGCTTGAGTTGTTGTAGAATTTTAGAACTAACTGGTAAGGGAAATTAGAGACCGCCTCATCCAAATTCCTGAATATGCAGAAGAGGAAACTTCAGAAAGAAAGGGACTCACCCCTGTCACTTGGCTAGTAAATTGAAGAACAGGCTCTGAGCCCCACATCTTTTGGCTCTGCTTCTGCCTTTCTTTTATATCATGCTTACCTCTAGTTTACATGGAATGATTTCAAAAACAAAATATAGATAACACATACAGACAAAACAACAGGGTGATTCTGAGGTCTTTTCTAAGACTCAGGATGAATTGTGTGGAACCACTCCACAAGCCGTGGAATCACCTTAAAAAATAGAATATCTGAGCTTGGAGGGACCTTAGAACATGTAATATCAGAGATGGGAAGGGAGATTAGAGATCATCTGATTCAAACTTAGAACTTCTTACCGAAAATACTGAAGTATCCAGAGATTAAAGTTATCGTACAAATTGTGAGTAGCAGAGCCCAGACTAGAACCAAGATATCTGGTTTCTCAGTTCAGTGTCAGAATGTTAACTGCCCTTCACTCCTAAATTAAATTGTTCCTTAGATCCCGTAATTATCCTCCCATATATATTTCCTAAGCTCTGAATTCAATTCAATAAAAAATGATTACTTTTCATCAAATTGAATTATTTGGTATGGAATCTTTTAAGTATAACAGAAAGAAGACTAACGCTGTGGACCCAGTCCCCGGCCTTTAAGTTCATAGCTTACTTTGTTGAAGCTGACATTCAGACAATGAAGTAACTACATTAAACCAATATAAGAATGAGTAATGAGGTCTGCTTGAGATTGCAGAAGACTGCCTAATAGTTTTGTGACTTTGGTCAAGCCAATTATTTTTTCCAGGTGTCAGATCACCTTTGTGGGATGTTTGAGGGGCAATAGTATAGTGGAAAAATCTCTGTATCAATAGTCAGAGGGCCTTGGTTCATATTCTGACCACATTTGTTTAATTAGGCAAGTAATTTCACTTCTCTAGATCTGTTTTCTTATTTATAAAATGAGGAAGTTGTACTATATCTCTAAGGTTCCTTCCAACTCTAAACCTATGATCCTTCTTTGGTCTCCATAATTCTAAATGCTTGACTACCTTTCAACCCTCCCTCTTAACTTTATGAATTTTGGGATCTTGGAATTATAAGAAATTTAAGAGACCATTGAGTTCAGGAGTTAACAAATTCTGTTCTGTGGGCCAAATTTGGCCTGCTACCTGTTTTTGTATCACCAGAAAGCTAAGATTCCAAGTCATTCTCCAGGCCTACCATCTAGCTCATAGAAAAAAGTCGTTTGATAACCAGATTCACACTCCTGATGCCCATTATCCTTCTGTGGTGTATTTATTATACCAGACTACTCCACAGAAGATGACCAGACTCAGCACAAAACAGAGAACCCTTAATAGGATTCAAGATTATAGAAAGGACAGATTTTTGGCAAAGACACAGGACCCTTGAGAAAGGAAGACCATGGAGGAGTGGCTTGCCTAAGATCACCTAGGTAGTTAGTAGTAGAAATAGGACCATAATTCAGATGTCCACCTTTCCATATCACTTGGTATTGAACTTCGCCAATTTGGGGAGAGAGGACGTAACTGGAGCCTCTCAAATTACAGGCGGGACATCACGTGTCTTAGAAGAAACTCAGTGTGATTAGAAACAGTGTTTGTCCCCTCTCATCCTTCCCTTCTCTTTGACTTTCCTTCCTCTGACTGTGCTTATAAAAAACAAACAGTATTAGCCAGGAATGTGGGCTCCTCCTAGTATGAATGAAGTAACCCTGGTCTAAGGGAAGGCAATTCCCTCTTAGATTTATTGTTGAGAGCCAGAGGAAACTAGAAGAAACCAGGATGAGCAAAGACTCATCCTGGTCAGCCCCTGCTTAATGCCTGTTTCCTTATTACATTTGTATAAGGCCCCAAACATGTTGTTCTTCATTCTCTCCAAGTGGTTAGGTAGCCTGGAAGGTCAAGGTTTTCATGTTCTTGTACTAATATGGACAGAGGAACAAGTACTATTGTGAAGAAAAACTCAGTTGAATATATTGGAAATTGAAAGCATTTAAGGAGAAGGGACAGAATTAGAGCTAACCAAATTTACAGGGGAAATGCATAGATACAGATAGCTCCCATTTCTATAGTGCTTTACAAAGCACTGACTTCATAGAAATCCTTTATAAGATGTAGTACAAATACTGTTATACCTATTTTGCAGATGAGGAAATAGGATCAGTGAAGATGACCATCTAAGGTCACATCACAAGTAAGTGTCATAACAGGACCTGAATCCAGTTCTTCATATCCATAATTCCAATGCTTTTTAAAATTCAATTTGGCAAACATTTATTAAACATGTACCTCATGTACAGCACTATGCTAAGTGCTAGGGATATAAAGGCAAAGATGGACAGTTTTTGACCTTAAAGAACTTAAATCCTACAAGAGGGGATTATGATATGTACACAGACATAAGTATGTATGTCTAAGATGTGATGGGGACACAGGAAAAATGGAGACAAAGTACTCCTGAAATTAAATTTGAAGAGAGAAAACTTTGAACTAAGGGGTTAGGGAATGCTATATAAAAGAGGTGGGATTTGAGCTGAGCCTTAAAAGAAGAGAGCAATCGGGGCAGTTAGGTAGCGTGGTGGATAGATCACCGGCCCTGAAGTCAGGAGGACCTGAAGTCAAATTTGACCTCAGACCAAACACTTGACACTCTCTAGCTGTGTGACCCTGGGCAAGTCACTTAACCTCAATTGCCAAAAAAAAAGAAAAGAAAAGAAAAAGAGCTATGGAAGGCAGAGGTGGGGAAACACTCTCCAGGTATGCAGGATGATCTGTGTAAAAATGCATATGGGCAGGAGAAAGCATTCTGATTTCAGGAAACAGTTGTAGCAACCACCTTGCTTCTCATCTAGTCACATATCCCTTGTTGTTGTTGTTCAGTCATTTCAGTCGTGTCAGACTCTTCATGAGCCCATTTGGGGTTTTCTTGGCACAGATAGTGGAGTGGTTTGCCATTTCCTTCTCCAGCTCATTTTACAGATGAGGAAACTGATGCAAACAGAGTTAAGTGACTTGCCCAGGGTCATACAGCTAGTAAGTGTCTGAGGCCAGATTTGAAGTCAGGAAGATGAGTCTTCCTGATTCCAATCTATCTACTGGACCATCTAGCTGCACATATCCCTACTCTCTGCCATTTTATACATGATAGAAAAATTGCATCACCTGTCCAAGGTCAAACAACCACTAAGCAAAAGATAATGTCTGCCCTCAAAGAGCTCACAATCTAGTGGAGGAGAAGTCTTAATCAGACTTTCTTGTCCATTCTTGTATTGATTAAATATAAAAATTTTGTGAAGCAAGGGTAGTAGGTGAACCAAATATTATTATCCACTTTTTTCCTAGAATATAAAACATGAAAGGGTTTGACGTGAAATAAGTCTTGAAAGGTAGGTTGAGTCAAATTGTAGAGAATCTGAAATGCTAGGCTACTTACTTAGGACTTTCTACTGTGGTCAGTAAGGAGTCGCTGAAGATTTTTGATAAGAGGAATGATGTCAATGATCAGACTGTGTCATAAGAAGATGATTTTAGAAGCTGTATGCAGGATGGATTAGACAAGGGACAGTTGAGGTATAGAGAGGCAACAAGACATGAATAAACTAAATTGGGGATAATATGATGGAAAGATGAGGATGGAGATGACAAAGATTATAGGAAAATTTCTGGGACTTGGCAAATGATTGGATGGGGGTTGGGAGACGGGAAAAGTTTAAGGATGCTTAAAAGGGAAGACAGAGCTATGTATCAGCAGCAGCAAAAAGAAGGAAGTCAGGGGAAGTCTCTGCTCAACTCCAGAGTCCAGACTACACAGGATTTGAAACTGACCAGAATAAAAACTGAAACGCATCTAATTTAATCTTCAGCATATGTTGCCTATCACCACATGAAAGAGGAATAGCATGAAAAGATAAAAGACATAAAAAGAATATGCACTTGTTACCCAGAAATAGGTTGAAGTGACATTCTGATTTCATCTTGTGTTTCCTCATCAATTAAGGCTGGAAGCTCTGCTGTGAAATTACTCGAACAGGAGGTGAACATCCTGAAAAGTGTGAACCATGAGCATATCATTCATCTACAACGAGTATTTGAAACACCCAAGGTAAGAATGCAGGAATGGGAGTATTTGGAAAGCTGTAATTAATACAAAATAAACGTGGTTAGATCATGAGGTAAAAAAAGTAACCACTGCCTTGTCAGAGAGAAGATGAAATGGAATCTTGGACAGGGTTAGTGACATCTTTGTGGTTGGCAAGAGAGTGGCTGTACTGGGACCTGAAGCCAGGTCTTTTGACTTCAAGGCCTCTATTCTTATCACCATGCTGCTATGCCATGTTCTGAAGGATTTCCTTATTCTTATTTATGTAATCTATGTATCTTTTTAAAAAAAATTTTTTGGGCAGTTGGGGTTAAGTGACTTGCCCAAGGTCACACAGCTATGTAATCTATGTATCTTAACACAGTCAGATGTGTAGGTCCAATGATGTCCCCAAGTAGAGCAAACAAATAATAGAAGAGACATTTTACTTGCACATGCAATTGCCTTGGGAAGCTAGTTTTCAAAGATCATAGAATTTTCTCTTTTTCATCACCCAGTCTGATCCATCCTTTTTTACAGACGAGGAAGCTAAGGACCATGGAGATGGTCACATTTAATCAGAACTAGAACCAGGCCTTCTCACTCCTAGACCAGATCCCTTTTTACCACATAATGCTGCCTTTGGGTTTTGCCCTTTTATTTTTTTAGAGGTACACAGAATTTTGTCTGATGCAAGATAATGAAGTAAGGTCACTGTTTATACTCAACTAAATAGCTATGATTATGATCATCACATCTAGAATAAGAATCCTCTCTCATGTTGGTTAGGACCTACAAAAACATGGCCCTTTTAAAATTTTACTTAAAATTTAATTTAATTTTTTAATTCCCTTAACATTATTATAGTTTCATTCAAATGCTTGTTGTTTTGTACTCGCCCACTGATATGCGTGGTGATTTGGGACTTGGTTTTTCTGCTTCATGGAACAATAGAACATTAGTGTTAGAAGTGGCCTGGAAGAGAATGTGGTCCAATCGCCCGTTCCCTCTGCTACCATCTTCCCTGGCTCTGTTTTACAAATAAGATGCAGTTCTAATTGCCACATCTTGTGAGAAACATTCATAAACTGGAGCACCTTCAGAAGGGAGCAATCAGGATGGTGAAGCTCCTGGAGTTTATGCCACAGAGAGAGTTCTTTGGCCTGGATAAAGGATGATATAGATATAGAACCAGTTTGGGGCTAGATTTTGGGGGAAACTTTCTAACAATTCCTATTCAAAATGCAATGGCTTGCCTCTAGAGTCAATGGGTTTGTCATCACTAGATTCTGCAGGTTGAGGGGAGATAGCCACTTATTAGGGATGTTGGGCAAGATTTGTTCGTAAATAAAGAATACATGACCCACGAAGATCATTCTACATCTTTAGATCTTGAAGACCAATCACACTAAATCATCTCTTATCCAGGATAAGTGGCTCTATCAACCTGTCCTTCTATAACCTGGTCTTCAGCTGCCACACTATCCTGCTCATTCTCCTTTGGTTACACTCTACCTCTAGAACTTTGTCATTCTGCTTTAAAAGGTTGAGGGATTTGGCCAAGGCCAGCAATACAACTGGTTGGTTATAAAGCCAGAACTTGGTCCTTGGCCCTCTCCAAAGCTAATGCTCTGCCTGCTCTACTGCTTCTAAGACAAACACGCAGCGCTCCATATTGTGTACAGTAATGGTGTCCTTAGCCATGCTTTAAAAGTGTTGGATACTTTGGTTATCCTTCATAAAGGGAAACAGCCTTAGAATGTACGATCCTGAGCTATCCGCATAAAGGACCTGGTAACTATTGTTACCTTGCTGCCACCAGGAAAGTAAATGAGTTAGTAATGTTTATTTTCTTCTTGAAGTCTAGAATAGCTGAAAGGAAAATGTAAGGAAATTGGCCTACTTTTAGAATATATCTGCATCCTCACGATTGGGTTGTTTGCCCTTAATTCAGTTAGGCTGGCTGCACACATCCCAACATGATTAGCCGTATCATTTGAGCCATCTGAATGATTGATGGAATGGCTACTTGATTGATTAGGCCCCAGTGATTGGTATTGATCCCCCAAAGTGCCAATATGACATGATCAGCTGTGCTGTTGTCCAAAGCACTCTCTGAATAGAGACATTGCCTTAGTTTAAATAGATGTTTCTGAATATCAATTAACTACATTCTTTTCCACCAGCAGCATACCTTTTTTTCCTCCTGGATTTCATGTAACTATAGTATAATTCTTACAATATTGCTGTTAATTGTATACAATGGTCTCCTGGTTCTAGACTTTTTAGTTGCATAAATCCATTTTAAAGCTCATTATTGGTTGTAAGCACTAACCAAACATATATATAATTGGGAAATAGTTGACAAAATAAAAATATTTTTAAAAGATAATAGAGATATACCTGACCTGATAAACAGCATTCCTTCCTGGTAGTCTGTATGCTTAGAAAACCATATTATATATCAGAACATTGCGTACCAAGTAGAGTTGGTTGTTAAGGAATATTTCCATCAAGAATTAAACTGGCCCAATCTATGGATATGTATTTTTAAAAAGTGTTGATTGGCTAGAATCAGAGCTCCCTCTCCCTTGTTCAATACTGGAAAAATATTCAAGCAACAACAAGCAGTTATTGGATGATTACTCTGTGCAAAGTAATGTGCTGTTGGGAGATAACAAAGATCACTAGAACACACAACCTCCGTTAAAAGAGTCTTCAAAGTCCATCTTGTAAGTTCAATCTATACTTAACCAAGAATCATCTCTCCATTTTCCTTAGCAAGTTGTGATCCACCTCCTGCCTGCATGTTCCCAGTAAAGGGGAAATTACTCCATCCAACATCAACCTATTCCTTTTTTAGATTCCTACTGTTTGTGACTAGCTCCACTCTCTGGGGCCAAGTGGAATAAGTCCAGTTCTTCTTTCATTGGGCAGCTTTTCAGATATTTGAAGATAATAGCTGTGTTCACATAAGACTTCTCTTTTCCAGGCCAAAAGTATACAGATCTTTCATCTAAGCCAGGATGATGGCAACAATTCTTCAACTCTTGCATCATTCTAGCCCCCTTTTTGGATGCATTCCAACCTGCCTATGACCCTTCACTCATTCTGGACATGATGCCTTGCAATGCAGCCTTGGATAGGATTCAGTTTTTTGGTTTGGTGTTATCTGCCACGTCACACTGTTGACTCATATTGAGTCTGTTAAAGGTTGATGTGTTTTGTTTTTACATTATATTGATTTCTGAGTATTTCTCTCCCCTTTCCTTACCTCTAATAGAGCAAAGAGTTAAAAAGAAACACAATTCAGCAAAACCAACCAGCATACAGACCATATCTAACAGCATGTATAATATTCTATATGCAGATTAATTTTACTCTGCAGTGAAAGGAGGGAGGTGAATTTTCTCAACTCTTCTCCAAGTTCATGTTGGGACATTATAATTACACAATATTTAGATTCATTTTATTGTTTTTTGTGTTTATATTGTTGTTATCATCATGCATATTGCTTGTCTGGGTCCACTTGCCTCACTGAGTTGGCTCACATAAGCCTTTCCTTGAGTCTCTGAATTCTTCCTACTCTTACAGCACAGTAATATTCCATTACATTCATGTACCTTGTTTAACTATTTCCCAGATGAAATGTGCTTCCTTGTTTCCAATTCTTTGCCACCACAGAAATGCAGCAATGAATATTTTTGTAATTATTGGACCTTTCCATTTTTGTTCTTCTTGGGGTGTATGCTAGTAATGGATTCTCCAGGGTGAAAGAATATGGACATTTTATTTATTTTTAAAAACGTAATTCCAAATTGCCTTCCACAATGGTTGGACCAATTCACAGCTCCTCCAAGAGTGTATTAGTGTCTCTGTTTTCTCATAAGCCCTCCAACATTGAATATTTTCAGCTTTTGTTATCTTTTCCAATTTTCTGCCAGTATTGTATTAATTTGTATTTCTAATATTTGGAGCACTTTTTCTTATGGTTGCTAAACACTTTTGAGAACTCTTTGGTCAGATACTTTGACCACGTGTCCATTGGGAAGTTGCTCTTCATCTTATATGTTTCTGTTAATTCCTTATGTACATATGAAATATTTGATGAAAATATTTTCCCAGTTGTCAATCCCCCCTTTCCCCCTAGCTTCCTAGCTGCCTTAATTTCATTCATGTAAACCCTTTTCAATCTTCTGTCACCAAAATTATTTTACTCCTTGTGATTTCCTCTATCTCTTATTTGGTTAAGAGTTTTCCCCTTAGTTGTAGTTGTGATATATATTTCCATCCAGTTTCTTCTCATTTTTTATGATGTGACCTTTTCTATTTGTCAAGTATCTATTTGAAACTTATTTTTTCTAGAGTTTTTTTCCCATAAGAACTTGCCACTTATTTGTTCATTATCTTGGACTTGTGAAATTATTTTTTGAACCCAAGTGTACTCTTTTTTGAATTTCATCTTATTCCATTTGCCCATCATTCTACACTGCTGAGATATTTTTAGGTCAGGGTTTTGTTACTCAATGTATTAGCTATTAGACCCTGCCCCAGTAGGGATGATTAGATACTTATTAATATGTGTTTACTATAAATTAAGATCAAAAGTTCATAGTTCAAGAGCTGGAAGAGACCACCTAGTCCCGCACTTTCATTTTACAGATGGGGAAACTGAGGCAAACTGGGTTGAGTCACTTGACCAGGGTCACACAGCCCAGAGGCTAGATTTGAATTTGGGAAGATGAGTCTTCTTGACTCCAGGCCTGACGCTCCACGCACTGCACCACCTAGCTGCCCTTCTTTTTATGTTAGTTTTAACATGTAAATGATGTACACTCTATTTTTATATTACTTTCCACTTAAATTGGTGACTCTTTGATAATACTTGAGGAACACATTAACCTTATCTACACTGTGCTTGTTATTTCTTAGGGCAAATTCCTTTGGAGGAGATTCCTGAGTCTCTAGTCTAAGTCATTGTGTGCTGATTCTTTTTAGTTTCCATTTCAGAGGTAGGCATTTTCTGACCTGGGCCCTTGACTCAGAGTGCACCTTATTTAGAAGCCTTATCATCAGAATTTGAGGGCATATCATATCCTAAGGTCTAGTACAGCAATAGTGGACACTTAATACGTGTTTGGTGAATTGGACTGAATTTTATAGTGTGAACTATAAGATCTCCAAAGAAATAATACAGACATATTTTAAAATATTTACTTTGTGAATCTTACATCAGCAGAGAAATCCAGATTAAGATTTTGTTGGAAAAAAAAGATTCATTTTCTATCCCAGTCCCTGAAAACAGTCTCTATTTCTAAGCATTTGTTTTATTTATTGATTGATTGATTTATATTATTTAAGGAGTATCTTCTGGAACCAAGACATATTGAGATAGGTTTTTTTTTTTTCACACTCCAACTTTGTCTCCTGGAGTATAAGATAGAATGAGAAGGAACACTTGTGATAATATTCAAATATTTGGGATTGAGTCTTTTAATTAGATATGCAGGAAACAACCAGACAGATCAATACTTATATAATTAGAGAGAACATTTTTCCATGGAAGACAGGCTAGGCAAGATATTGTGAAGAAACAGCAAGACTCTTTGGTTCGACACAAGGATAAAATGTGAAAATAACTTGGGATCACTGATCACTCTTACTCATGTCATGTGTTCCACTCAAACCAATGAATAGGGTCTTACCCATTCTCACCCATCAACCCAGTTTAAGGGATATGGTTAAAAGAGAACAGTTTTCTATTGTCTCCACAACATGATAAGTTGATCCACCTCTTTCTCAGATATAAAGGCACCATAGTATAATGGACTAGGAATCCAGAAACCTAGTTTTTGGTTCCAATTCTGACACTAAATTGCTGTGTGACCTTTGTCAAGTTACAAAGTCTATGGACCTCAGTTTCTTAATGTGTAACAAAGGAGAGGGTTAGACTTAATGACCTTTAAGATCACTTCTGCTTTTAGATTCTATGATGGTCTGTCTTCTCTGAAATTTCTTAAGACAGAAGGTAGGCTCCAGAGCAAAGGCATGAGTTGGTGCTAAAGGATCAATAGAATTCAGGGAGCAAGTGAAGAGACATGAGATAGGACCAGGAAAGAAATGTGTCAATCATTGGGAGAATAAGGAAGGATCTGCCCTAAACAGAGAGTATGACACAATTTGCCATATTCCTTACCCTGCATTCATGTGCATATCTTAGTGCTCAGACATGTAATATTTACCTTGTATTCTAGATTCCTCCAAGTGAGCTTCATCTGAACAGCTCCCTAGGTTACTAGCTTTACCATCCAGTGAAATAGCTGTCTTCAAGCAGTACTGAGTATGAATTTAGTCAAAATGTCAATCATAAACCAATTAATTGTCTCAATAGTGTAAACTGTATCCATACTTGGGAAAAGCACAACTCAGTTACTGATACACACAAGCAATCTGAGGAACACAAATCTCACTGATTCTCCTCTACAGAGTGTCAGGAAACCAGCTACATGAGCACACAAGCACACAAATACACAGGGTATGTGATCAACAGCTCAAATCATTGCATCTGCACAGGTATAGCGTAAACATGAATCCTACCTGGATTTTTCCCTCACTTTCTTCTTCACACAGTTCTCTTTGCAATAGCAGCAATATATTGGCCAATATGATTACACCAACCTGACTTCTAGAGCTCCCTCCACTCAAATACTCTGTGTTTGGCATAGTCCCAGAAAGGACAGAAGCATTAGGACAGTCACTTGTACTTTCACCTCCACAAACCTGATTGTTCTCTTCTGCTCTGTGCTCACAGTTGAGCTCCAAAGGTTTTTAAAAATCATTTGAACAGAGTAAAGTAATTCCTCCTTTTTAATAATGTGATATACTTTCTTTAGCAAAACAGCATTTTAAATGGAATCATTCATCTTAAAAGATCCAGATTGTTATGTTTTATTTTTTTTTTACTATCTATGCATTTAAACTCTTGAGATGATTCAGCAATCCAAAAAATATCTTAATAACCAGTGCTAAATAACTCTCTCTGCTCCTTTCAAATGCCAGCGGATGTACCTTGTGATGGAACTCTGTGAGGATGGAGAACTTAAAGGAATACTGAACAGTAAAGGGCACTTCTCTGAGAATGAGACAAGGCAGATCATTGGGGACCTAGGGTCAGCTATTGCATATCTTCACAAAAAGGGTAAGAAGGAAACTCATCAGTCACATGTATTCAGTTAAAATAATAAAAATGATAACAATAATAATAAATTATATTTATGTATTTTGTATAAACTAACTCATTTGATCATTTAAAAACAGTTGCAATTTGTAGACAGTGGAAGAATTATTGTCTGCATTTCACAGATGAGAAAACTGAGGGTTAGAGGGCTAGAAGAGCTTTCTCAAGGTTACCTGACTAGTTAAAGAGGTCACCAGGTAAAAAGTGGCAGAGCCATTCCTCACGTTTTTTTTTTTTAAATTTAAATTCAACTCCTTGCATTGATCCCTAAACCAAAGATGAAAAGAGAAAGAAAGCTGTAGAGTGATATCATTGAGAAGAATGAAGTAAAATGCTTGAAAATAGAATACAGAAAATATTTTTAGATAATCTATCCCTAAATCCTAGATTTGTGGTTGGGTGTGGCTTTTAAAGATCATCAAGTCAAACCTCATTTTGTAGATGAGGAAACTGAGGCTCAGCAAAGGTAAGTGATTTGCCCAAGCTCACAGATAAAGGACAAGGTAAGAACTCAAATCCAGGGCTGCTGACTCCACTGCATCATGCTGTGCAAATTGGATTAATTCTGGGAAAACAACAAGTATGATAAGAATTATTAATGAAAAAAATAAAGGCTATGTGCATGATCCTACCTTGTGTGAAAAAGCCTATCTCACAGTATGAAGAAAGTTTTTGATAAAATATAGTACTCATGTAGGGTTAAAATAGTTTAAACCATAGCAATAGAAAGATTTTTCCAATCAAAATCAAAAGTATGTATGTGAAAACATAAGCTAATATTATATATAGGGAAGAATAAAAATGAGTGCTAAATAGAGATATTTATTCTCATCACTCTTATTTAACCATGTAAAATATCTTAGAAATAGAAATAAAGCATGAAAAAGAAATAAAAGGAAAAAGTATTAATAATGAAAAAGTTAAAGTATCTCTTTTGGTAGACTGTATGCCTAGAAAACCAAAGGCAGTCAACAAACAAGAAAATTTAATGGAGCAATAACTTCTGTAAAGGTGGTGGATACAAAATAAACCCACAAAAAGTATCTTTCTAAATTCTACTATCAGAAACTGATAGTAAAGAAATAGCTTTTATAATAATGAAAAAACATATCAAATATCTTAGCATTCCTTTATAAAGCATATGAGACCTAGACAAATAGCAATTTCAAAATGACTGACAGAAATCAAGGAAGAATTGAAGAAATGGAGGAATTTGTTCAAACATAGATAGTCATAATGAACCTATCTCTCAAATTAAATTATAAATTTAAAGCAATATCAATCAAGATACCAAAAGGTTGTTTTATAGCATTAGATAAAGTTGTAAGAAAATTCATGTGGAAATTGCAAAAAATATTTAGAATATTGAGAAAAAGTATGAAAAAGAAAACTGATAAAATGGAATTAGCATCACCCAGAAAGCAACGATTATAAAACTTTGGAGTCCAATGCCCTTAAGCAGTGTGAAGTTGCCAGGCTTGCTTTCAGGAATACTGACTAGTGTTAGTGGGGATAAGGCAATCAGGGGAACATCAAAATTAATAATGATGATGATCCATATTTTTTTCCTGATGGGGCACATCAGCATGCTTAAAGGAAAACAGTATCAGTCAAATTTACCAATGAAATTGCTGGTCCAATCCCTAGGCCTGTCCCTATTGTGTATAGCTAAGAATTGTGAGCCCCTTGATGACTCATTTTTCTTTTTTCCTCCCCTCCTAAAAAAGTTAAAATAAATCATTTCAACAGTTTCTGCAGGGTGGTTTGTTTTTTTTCATGGAAGTGCCAGCAAATGTGTTTTTAGGGGAAAGGCGCAGATAGTAATAATGATAGTTCCCTTTACACAGCACCTCATGGTTTACAAAGCACTGTCCTTCCAATAGCCCCATAGCTATTGGTAGGACAGGCATGTTTATCTCCACTCTACAAAGGAGAATGCAAGATCCCAAGAGGTGAAGTGAATGACTTGCCCAATGTCATATACCTAGGAGCTAACCAAGTCAGAGATAACACAATCAGTCTTTGGAGTTCCGTTATAATGCTATATGCATTATCTCCTACTGGAATGAGAGAATGGGAATGGGGATAGAATTCTCAAGTCTGATTTCTAGAATCTCCAAAGTTGTATCTTTTCAAGGTTTCACAACTGGCAGTCCTTGGGACATTTTGTAAAATATCTTTGGCAGATTCCTTTGACAGTCATTCATTCTTTCACTTGATATCCTTTCCAAATAACTTTCTCTTACTGACCTCAAGTTATCAATTTTTTTTCTTGGTAGATATAGTTCATAGAGACCTAAAGCTGGAAAATATTTTGGTTAAAAGCAGATATACTAATGAAAAAAATGAAACCAACTTTAACATAAAGGTAAGAATATTAGTGCTAGAAAGGATCTTGGAGATTATCAAGTTAAACCTAAGAAACTGTGGGTGTGGAAAGTGATACCCAAGTGTCAAAGTCATTATCTCCCTCTAAATGCATATTTGTAGCTTTTTGAACAGAGACTAAATGGTTTTCATTTTTAAAAAGACTTCTCACAGATGAAGATGTAACTGACACGAATAATTTTAGAAGTTACATATTCCTCAGCATAAGAAAGCCTTTCAGCAATACCACTTAACTTCTCCAATTATTCTTGTCAGTTACATACTCATCTATGAGGCTCTAACATTTTAAAAATAAAAACCATTTACTCTATGTTCAAAAGCCTACTTTATTAATGTACATACACATTTGGATAACTCTAAATCATTTGTTATGCTGAGCAAACAGATGCTCTGAACTATAATTAATTTCTAAATTATGCCTGACATATAATGTAAATGTGTTTGTAATTTAGAGAAAAGCACACCTAGATTATGCTTTGATTCAGCCAACAAATGCATTTCAACAAACATTTATGAAGTGTCTGCCACATGTAAGGCCTTCACGTAAGTCCTACTATGGTGCTGCAGTATGGCATGGAGGTGACATGATTTCCGAAAAGCTATGCCAGCAGAGCACAATTTGGGCAGCTCTACCATGCTGCAAAGACTCTGGGACTTGCAGGGATATGCTTTATCTGATGGCTTTAGACCAACTTAGATAAGTAAGGAGAGGAACATCACCGATGAGCTAACCAGCTGATGACTAGATGATGAATTATTTGGATTGTGTAGCCCACAAAGCAAAGAAAAATAACATATGCCCCTTAGTCCTATGTGACCTCTTTTTATTTCTTCAGTACTACTGGCAGAGTAATGAAAAAAGACAGAGTCCTAAAAATCACACCATTTTTAGGCTAACATTAATTTAACTAGTTACTCTAATGTGAGATTTTTGTCCAGTGGCAAAATACATGACATACTGTTGTGGAACTGAACCATATTAATCTTGATATTCTTAGTATCAATGAAACCAGAAAATTTAAGGAAGTTGCAGAAAAATGGAATGATAGTTTCTAGATTCTATTTGGAGAGGCAAATCAAGGAATTAGTAAAGTTGATTTCATTGTGCAATGCATTATGTATTAAATTCAACAGTATTATTATTGTTTGAAACCATTAAGAAACAACATTTCAGGGGACTATTTGGTCATTTATTGTGGTACTCAGGATAAACATTTGCAGAAAAAAAACAAAACCCATCACGAACATAATTGAGTTTTATGAACCAATGTTTGTCATTTGTTGAAGAGGATGAGAAGGTAAAGAAATTCTAGGAGGAACTCAAGACCACCCAGATTAAATTGACATATGCTTTAATAATCAGTTACCTCAGTAAAAAGGTGGGCATAGAGGAGGACAGTGATAAATGTGTTGGAAAGTATGATTCAAAGTTAAGAAATAGAAAAAGCCAAAGGGTTATATATATAGAAACCTTACACCTGTATATTGTGATTACTTTCTTCGAGAAGACAGTCTGAAGTAACTCGACATAGAGACCGAGAACAAAATCACACATGCACACACACACACACACACACACATGCAGAGAGAGAAGGGGAGAGAGAGAGGGATGGGGAGACAGAGAGAGAGAGAAACTGGCTGTGTTTTTAATAGATGGGAACTGACTAATCACTGATGAGTCAGCTGGCTGGGTATAGACCATTGACTTGTAATAACAAAATCAACCCTACTTTAAAAAAAAGAAACAAAATAAGGTGAAGATGTAGTATGTAAATAAAATAACTCCAATCTGACCTACTCAAATAAACTATTTGATGCCAAAAGTGGAAAATGAATAAAGGAACAGACATAAACAAGAATTATTGCCATTTGTTATATACCTCTGATGAATTTCCATCATGAGGAAGTCATAAGAGCCTAGAAACCCATTTCAGCACCTGAATACTGGATCTCCTTGTCAAATGTGGAGTTTTAGAAACTGACAAGGAAATACTGGTGGAAAACTGTGTGGAGAAGAATGTTAGAAGATTTTGAGTAGTGTGGCCTGGTACAACATCAGTAAGAGATGGAGGGAAAAAACAGGTTTGGAAAAAACTTGTGGAAAACTCATTAAGCTAGGTCATTCATTCCAAGAATCATTAAGGATGAAATAGGAAGGAAGATGGAAAAAGAAAGAATCTATAAACCTTTCGACAGGAAACTATTTTCTTCATCGATATCAAGTAAAGCCTGAACACCTGAATTTTTACCATCTCAGTTACTAATGTGCTACATGATGAAGTGGAAATAACACTAAGGAATCAAAAATACATATGCCCCAAGGAGGTTCATTCTGAAGATGACAAACTTCTGAAAGTGTTGAGGGTTTGATTTTCAAGATATCAAAAAGGAAGAAAAATGATAATTAGAAAAAATAGCAGATGGGATTATGCCCCCAAAGTGACTAAAAGGACATTACCAAATAAATATTGATTTATAGGTCTAATCTCTTCTATAAAATCTTTATGAGAATGATCTATACACATAAAGATAGTATTCCTTTCTTTCTCCCACCCTTCCTTCCTTCCTTTCTTCATCCCTTGCCTCCTTTTCTTCCTCCCTCTTTCTTTTCTTTCTTTTCTTTCTCTTTTTCTTTCTCTCTCTCTTTCTTTCTTTCTCTCTTTCTTTCTCTCTTTCTTTCTCTCTTTCTTTCTCTCTTTCTTTCTCTCTTTCTTTCT